TATTTATGGGGCTACGATTTTTAATTTATATGGGGCTACTAATTTCAATTTTTCAACAATTAGTGTAGAATATTTTTTTCCAAAATGGGGTGACTAAATTAAATTAGTGTAGAATAAATTGTACTTTCGAGCTACAATTGTTGTTCATGAAGCTCCACTTGTTATTGATTTCTCTGTATTGTCCCCATTTTTAAGTGGCATGAAGTCTAAATATTTTTTTGTGCAGAGATGGATCGAGAGTGGATGTACGGTGTGTCACGAACACACATGCGGTACATGGTTGGCGTCTACAACTTCCTCGCCGTCGCCGCTGCCAAAGCCGATGCTGGGGGTGGAAACCGTGTATTCTGCCCATGCAAAGATTGCAAGAATAAAAGAAAATGGGGTAGAATTGAGTCTATATGAATGCACTTGATTACCAGGGGGTTCATGCCAAACTATACGATATAGAGTATGCATGGGGAGGTTGGTGAGAATGTTCCGCAAGAAAACAATGATGATGTGGCCATCCTTGACATAGCCCTCCACGAGGCTATTACTAACCAGGAAACCGGTGTCAAGACGCAACCTGTGGCTACCGTTAATAATGATGTGATTATGAATACATTAGCTCACAACACCGAGTAGGAGGATGGCATTTCTCAGCTGCTACATGATGTAGAGAGCGGATTTCTTAGTGATAGACAGTTGAGAAAGCTAGAGATAATGAGACAAGATGGCAAAACACCATTGTATAAGGATTGTCTAGTGAGGAAACTGGAAGCCGACATCATGCTATTAGAGTTCAAATCTACGAACGGATTGAGCAATAAAGGCTTTGATCAGTTGCTAGGTATACTAAGGAAACTACTCCCAGAAAAAAAGGAGTTGCCAGAAAAGACACACCTGCCCAAGCAAATGATCTGCCCAATCGGCCTCGAAGTTGAAAAAATCCACGTGTGTTCCAATGATTGCATATTGTACCGTGGAGACAAATACAAAGACTTGGATGTGTGCCCCAGGTGTAAAGGTCCATGGCATAAGGAAGGGCCGTAAAATGAGGGTAACAAGACCAGAGGAGGGCCCGTAAAGGTCGTTTGGTATTTCCCTATAACTCCTCGGGTGCATAGGTTGTTTGCAAATGCAAAGTCAGCCAAGCTATTGCGCTGGCATGGTGAAGAGCATAAGAAAGATACAATGATGAGGCACCCCGCCGAAGGGAAGGACTGGAGGACTATCAATACTATGTGCTATAAGAACATCAGTGGAGAGGTAAGGCACCTTTGGTTTGGTTTGAGCACACATGGGATAAATCCTTTCGACCAGGTTAGAAGTAATCATAGCACCTGGCCAGTGACCCTCTGTATATACAACCTTCCACCTTAGCTTTGTATGAAGCGGCCGTACATCCAGATGCCACTACTGTTCCTAGGGCCAAAACAACCTGGGAATGACATCGATGTGTCTCTGGAACCAGTGATCGATGAACTAGCAGAGATGTGGGAAAAGGGTGAAGGATGTTTCGGATGAGTACAAAAAGGAATATGTCACGATCAAGGTAGTACTTATCACTACAATCATCGACCTACCAGGGCGAGGTTGCTTGTCCAGAGAGAAGACAAAAGGATATATTAGATGTGTCGACGAGACCGATGCGGTACATTTACCGAAAAACAAGAAGATGGTGTATATGGGACACCGTAGGTTCCTACCTAAGGATCACCCTTACCATAGGAACAGAAAAGATTTTGATGTGACTATTGAGAAACATGGACCTCCAAAATATCGAGATGGTACTGCAAGCAAACTCAATGTTGTCCTTGGGAAATGGATGGGGCAGTAGAAGCACCTGAAGGGAGCATCTAGAAGAAAGAATCGATTTTCTAGAAACTACCTTACTAGGCAGTGTTGAGTGTACGTCACTGTCTTGATCCCATGCACATTACTAAAAACATGTGCGGTAACACGCTTAACACCTTGATGAACACCAGGGGACAGCGAAGGATTCACTAAACATAGGCCTGGACATGCAACACTTAGGACTCAGGAAGGAATGGCATCCCATCGATCAAGAGGATGGCTAGCTAAAACTTTCGGTTGCATCATGGACGTTGAAGGTGGAAGAAAAGCATGTGCTTATTTCTTTCTTCCATGAATTCAAAGTCCCAACGGGCTACTGTGCGAGCCCGAAGATGCTAGTGAACATGAGAGAACTCAAGTTTAACTATGGGTGTATGAAGGCCCATGATTGTCATGTCATTATAACTCAGTTGCTCCCTATTGCCCTATGTGGTATCCTCCCCTAAAGGTTGGCGCCCCAATCATAAAGCTATGCTCGTTCTTCAACATGATCTCACAAAAGGTCATTCATATGTCCAAGCTAGACCAGCTACAGAGGGAAATAGCCAAAACTCTATGCAGGCTTGAGAAGATGCATTTCCCGCCGACTTACTTTGATATCTCAATGCATCTACTCGTTCATCTTGTTGACCAAATTAGATGGCTTGGCCCAATGTACCTGCATTAAATGTTCCCTTTTGAAAAGTTGGTGAAAGTTTTCAGAAGGTATGTTAGGAACATATTTAGACTAGAAGGGAGCATGGTAGAAGGATGGCCAACGGAGGAGGCCATTGAGTTCTGCACGTATTATCTAGACATCAATAGGGTCGGAGTTCTAGAATCTCATCATGAGAGAAGACTAGGGGGCACAGGAACGATCGGTGAGAAATCTATCACAGTAGACGACCCCGTTGCTTTCAGACAGGCACAATTCGCTATTCTCCAACAAGACAAGGATTTGATGCCATACATTGACGAGCACAGGCAGTCGCTGCAAACTTCATATCCGAGCAGGTCGTAGGCTTGGCTTCATAAAAAACATAAGCTGGAATTCATCGACTGGTTGCAACGCCGCTTGATCTGTTGGGACTGCTTGCTTCAGCTATGCCAGAGATGCGCTCTCGATACACAAATAATGATGTTGGGAACTATGTAAGTACCCTACTCACACGACAATATTATAATTAACTACGTCTTCAACATTTGAACATTTCCCATGGTTTATGCAAGTATGTATCAAAATATTGCTTATACCCAAAATACGTATATAGCCTTCTTGGACCCCGAGCAAGTCAATGAGAATACATGCAGAGGCCTTCGTGGAAATGATGTGGAAGATCTGACAACACGTTTGATTGAGGTTTTCGAACAGTTCTTGATGCACAACAAAACGAACATACTTCTAATCTACAACTGCGAGTATGCGTTCTCGGCTCTTATTTTCGTGCTTATTTTTTTAGTTAAGATTATTCGTTAACTAGAACTTTGTGATTGCAGCAACCATTTCATCTTCATCGATATCGATATTCCTAAAAATCATATCGAGGTGTGGGACTCCAAGAAAAAGGCACTTTCTAATATTGATCCCCTAATCAAAGTGCTGAATAAGTAAGTGAACCTAATAACAAATTATTTGCTAATCACACATAGCACATTCTAATGTTACCCCTTTCAGACTTTTATATTGTGGCGCAGTGTTCGGGCAAGAATGATGGGGGGGCGAAGGTCCCATTCCAGGTTGCAGAAATGAGAATGAAGACCCTAAATCAGTTGGTGGAAACGATGAATGCGGGTTCTACATAATGTGGGCAATGCTCTACTACCTCGGCGGGAGATCAAATAAGGCAGATGAATTGTTGTGTATACTTTCCTTTTCATTTATATCAGTTAATTCAACAAAACGATACATTATTTTGTCTTACATTTATGCCTTTCGATATCATCTTTGTTGAACGACAGCGCAAGAAATTTAAGCACGAAAGGTTGACCGAGATGGAGATCATAGGATTGTCAGGGGAGCTAGCAAAGTTCATCTTGTCTGAGTGCTTGGCAAAAAACAGAACATTCTCCATTGCACGGTCCAAGAAGTACAAGGTAGATTATGGGCCAGAGTTGATCGCTAGACTATTGTAATTTTGAGATCTTCATAAGTACAATTTGATCTGTAACCGTAACATGTGTAATGTTTAATATTGAATGATTTTTAATATTTAATATTGATGGATTTGTAATATTTAACAATAGCAAATATATAGCAAAACCCGATTCCATAAAAAAACAATAAAATAAATTATAAATAATAAATTACGAAAAAGAGATCATTTCCCGGTTAGTAAAAAACCGGTAGTGTTCTCTCATACTACACTGCCGGCTTGAGTGAGAACCCGTAGTGTTTTCTAATACAACATTGTCGGTTAAAGCCACCAATCGGCGGTGTTCGTCAAGACAACACTAAACCGGCAATATTCTCTGCCGGCTTGAGCCACAAACCGACAGTGTTCTTGGTGAGAACACTGCCGGCTTGTGTCACAAACTGGCAGTGTTGGTCGAGAGTACACTTCTGGGTTATGCCAAAAACCAATAGTGCTGGTCGAGAGAACACTACCGGTTCATGTAAAAAACCGGCAGTGTTGGCTCAACTAAACACTGTCGGGTCGTTTCACAAACCGAAAGTGAATCATCAAAACACTGCCGGTTTAATAGAACCGACAGTGATCTGAATCCCCATCACTACCGGTTTGGTTGTGTCGATTCAAAATTCGGCAGTGAAGGGGTGTTTTGAACCGACACTAGTGTGAAGATCTGGGTAGTGATATGGACATGCGTGTTGGTGAAAATACCAAATATTCATGCATGCACAAGGTGAAAAGAACAAACAATTAAAGTCCCGTGATGCCGGCATGTGATTCTTCGTGTCACCACCTTCGTTTAAAAAAATCATTCTAGGTATGGGTTAAGTCATTTTTTTTCGAGTTTTACTATGTTTATAAACATATTATCAATATTGATATCTTCAAATAGGTTTATTACAAAAGTATGTTCCATAATTTATCTAATAATATTTATTACGCATCATAGACATTACTATATTCTTTTATATATTTTGTTAAATTTGAGATTTATTGAATCGTGAGAAAGCGAGATGGATATTTTTTTGGATATAATAATGTAAAACCACGCACCTTTGCAGTTGCTTGGTCACGTGTGTCTTGGTAGTCTTCGAGCACGTCGGAGATGTCTAAGGCGACGTCCTTGAGCCGCTTCAGCAATAGCTGCACTCGATTCTCCTTGATTGACCTCCTCTCGGCGTCCTCCAGCTTTTCCGAGATGATTTCAAGAACATTCTTCATGCCCTCCAGGTCGTCGGTGAAGTTCCACAGCAAACTGGCCTGATCCCCGATGGCAGAGCCCAGCTTAGCTGTCGCGATCTTAACGAAACCGGACGTGAGCAGACCAGCTACTGCTTCCGCCATGGCTACAGAGCTCTGAATCGCTCTCAGGCTCACGGCTTGTGTGGAATGATGTGCGCAGGCGGCCTGCGAAGTGCGTAGCTTCTGGTTGCTGGGGTCAGGAACTCAGGATGCTTGGCAATGGTGATGCACTGCGATCCTTCTCTATCTATGGGCTCTTGTGCTAGCTATATGTAGGGGTGGCCGGTACCAATTGTGGTTTCGGCTGTGTGGTCCACCATCTGAAGTTGGAGCTCCTTGTTACTGTTGTGGCAAAGCTCGGCAATGATGACACATGGTGTGTGTAGTTGCTGCCAAGTCTAGTTTTTCGCATATTCTTTTTAGTTAACTATGTGCTTGTAGGCACCGGTGGAGGTAGAACAGGATTAAAAGAGAACGGTCCCTTCTTCTTTCTTCCTTTTTATTTTTCTTCTTTCCTCCGCCTCTTCTTCTCCCTTATCCTCTCTATATTTTCATTGATGCACCAGCTGTAGGGGCTGGAGCCGTACTGTTTCAACAAAAAACAGTATTTTTCTCTCGCAACAAATCAATAAACAATATACTTTCAAGCTACATCTTTTCAACGAAACGAACAGAGCCATGGAAAATGAAGAAGCCAACTACCCATTCCGCAAGCTACATCTTTTCAACGAAGCCACCAGAGCCATGGAAAATGAAGAAGCCAACTGCCCATTCCGCGCTCCCATCACTTTCTGGCTTCATAGTTCTTCTCCTCTGGTTCACATCATGTGACTGAGTGTTGGTTGATTCGCACTTTGCTACATACTCCCTCTATTTTAAATTATAAAATATTTTAATTTTTTTAATATATAGTTTTTATTATATATTTAGATATATAATAGATCTAGATATGTAGAAATAGAAAAAATAATATATCTATAAAAAACCAAAATATCTTGTAATTTAGAACGGAAAAATCACTCAAGAAGATAAAGAAACGAGACTATTTATTTAGAGATAGGAGCCAAAAGTAGAGACTATTTTATATATTTTTTCCGGTCTACGATTATAATAGTTAGCCTAATAAGCCAAATAGCTAGCGGCTGGGCGCCCTAAACCAAAAAAGTTAGCTAGCTGGCGTTGTTGTCTAGGGCATTATCACGATGTTCAGTCGTCGTTCACATTCACAACTTACCTGCTACTAAAGTGCGAACAGAGGTGCCAGCTAGCAGCTTTTGATGGGACGCTACGACGACGATGTGGCCTGCAGGTCTTGTCCCCGTGCATGTTGCGAAGTTGTGTTCCTACTTGCCAAGTCTAGTTTCTCTCGGCCCTTGTTTAGTTTGGTGAATTTGGATTTTGGGGCTACTATAGCATGTTCGTTTTTATTTGACAAATAGTGTTTAAACATGGACTAATTAGGTTCAAAATGTTCGTCTCGCAATTTCCCACCAAACTGTGCAATTAGTTTTTATTTTCGTCTACATTTAATGCTCCATACACAGGCCGCAAATATTCAATGTGACAGGTACTATAACAACTTTTTAGACTTTAAGATCCAACTAAACAAGACGTCAGATTCTTTTTAGTTAACTATGTGCTGGTAGCCAGTGGTCTTCTTCTCTTACATCCTCCCCATATTTTCTTTGATGCACCGGCGGTAAGGTGCTCGAGCTGTACTGTTTCAAAAAAAATAATGTTTTTCTCTCAAATCAAATCAGCAAACAATACTTTTACGTCATATCTTTTCAGCGAAGCGAACATGCCCATTGAAAATGGAAGTGGGAAATGAAGAAGCCAACTACCCATCGGCGCTCCCATCACTTTCTGGCTTCATAGTTCTTCTCCACTGGTGCACATCATGTGACTGAGTGTTGGTTGATTCACACTTTGCTACCTACTCCTTCTATTTCAAATTATAAGATATTTTAATTTTTATAGATATGTATATAATATATCTAGATACGTAGAAATAGAAAAAAATAATATATCTTGGAAAACCAAAATATGTTATAATTAAAACGGAAGTAGCACTCAAGAAAATGAAGAAACGAGACTATTTATATATGCAAGCAGCCATCGAAAACGATGGACCGAGAGTGGAGACCTCTTTGACATGATAATTCTGTGGAGGAGAAAATAGTTTTGCCTTTCGTATGCTGCTGGTGATGGTGATTGGCCTTGAGCTTCGCCCACATTTGACTACCATCTAGACAAAATTACTGTATCTGCGAGTACGAGTACCAGTAGACTGAACGCCATATTATATTGATGTACACGGTACACCCCAGTACTAGTAGTGAGTTTTTTTTAGAAACGGTACTAGCTAGTAAGTGCAGCGACCTTTCCTGCTTTCCAGCTGCTGCGATTGATAGAGCCCGGCCCTATGCTCCAGCACCACATGCATGCATACTGACTAAGGGCGTCTACAACTGTGTTAGCTACGTAGCCAGCTTATATAGAGATAAGAGATAAAAGTAAAAATTATTTTATATATTTTTATTTTTCTATATGTTATTGGACCAACATGTTTCTCTCTCATGTTCTTAGATTACGTAAAATAGATCAATTATTTATGTGTCGCTCTCTATTACTTTTTTGAGAAAATTCCTTGATTGCCACTGAAATCTATACCAATCCCTTCGCTGTCATCCAAAATTAAGAGCTCCCTTCGTTGCCATCCGTTCTAATTTTTTCGTTCCTTTGTTGCCACTACGGTTACACAGCAGTCACGGCGTGACTTTAGTGCTCATACCCGACGTCCAGGAACAATCCAACGGTTCAAAGAAAAGGTTGTTTTCAGTATCCGGCTTCGCATCGCTACCCGGACACCTCCCGCGTGCTCCGCCTGGCGCTCGACGGGCTCGCGCTGTCCGGCCGCATGCCCCGGGGCCTCGACCGCCTTCCCGTGCTCCAGGACCTCTCCCTCGCCCGCAACAACCTCTCCGGCGCGCTCCCGCAGGGCCTCTCCCTCTGCTCGCTCGACTCTCCTACAACGCCTTCTCCGGCGCGCTCCCCGATGACGTCGTGCGCCTCGCCTCCCTCCGCTACCTCGACCTCACCGGCAACGCCTTCTCCGGCCCGCTCCCGCCGGCCTTCCCGCCCACGCTCCGGTTCCTGGTCCTGTCCGGCAACCAGTTCTCCGGCCCCGTGCCGGAGGGGCTGGCAGCCAAGAGCCCGCTCCTGCTCCACCTCAACGTGTCCGGCAACCAGCTCTCCGGCTCGCCCGACTTCACCGGCGCGCTCTGGCCGCTCAAGCGCCTGCGCACGCTCGACCTGTCACACAACCAGTTCTCGGGCCCCGTCACCAACGGCATTGCCAGGCTCTACAACCTCAAGACCCTCAGCCTTAGCGGCAACCGGTTCTTCGGCGCCGTCCCGGCGGACATCGGCCTGTGCCCGCACCTCAGCACCATTGATCTTTGACACCGTCCCGATGTCCCCGAACCTGCTGCCGCTCAAGGGCTACTACTGGACGCCGCAGCTGCAGCTGCTGATCACGGACTACGCGGTGCATGGTAGCCTAGAGGCGCGGCTCCACGACGTCGGCGGCGGGGCGGAGTTACCGCCGATGACGTGGGAGGAGCGGTTCCGCGTGGTGTCCGGGACGTCCCGGGCACTGGCGCACCTGCACCAGGTGTTCCGGCCGCCGCTGGTCCACTACAACGTGAAGCTGAGCAACATCTTCCTGCTGGACGCGGAGTGCAACCCGGCGGTGGGCGACTTCGGGCTAGCGCGGCTGCTGCCGGGGAAGCTGGCGGACGGCGGCGGCCGCGGCAGCCGGTTCCAGGCGGGCGGCGGGATGGGGTACGTTGCGCCGGAGCTGGCGTGCCAGAGCCTGCGTGTGAACGAGAAGTGCGACATCTACGGGCTAGGCGTGCTGATCCTGGAGCTGGTGACGGGGCGGCGCGCCGTGGAGTACGGGGACGACGACGTGGTGGTGCTCATGGACCAAGTGCGCGTCCTGCTGGAGCATGGCAACGCGCTGGAGTGCGTGGACCCGGGCATGGGCGGTCAAGTCCTGGAGGAGGAGGTGCTGCCGGTGCTCAAGCTAGGCATGGTGTGCACGTCGCAGATCCCGTCCAACTGGCCCTCCATGGCGGAGGTGGTCCAGATCCTGCAGGTCATCAAAGCGCCCGTGGGCGGCGGCAGAATGGAAGCCTCCTTCTGATCCATCCTGACTGTCAGTCACGAGTCATGACCGACCAACCAACCAACGTCCGGTCGCCGTGTGCAGCGGTGAGTCGCTCGTGTGCAGCGATAAAACAATGGCCATACAGAGGAGCTTATAACACCGTTAGTCTAAAATTGACGGAATGGCAATAAAGGGAAGAAAAAATCTACTTGGATGGCAATGAAGGGATGAGATAATTTTGAATGGCAACGAAGAAATTGTTATATTTTTCGATGGCAATCAAGGAATTTTCTCTACTTTTTTTTCCCGGTCCATGCCAAATAGCTAGCCGCTGCCGCCCTAAACCAAAAAAAGTTAGCTAGGCCTTGTTTAGATTGGGGTTAGGAATCGGTATTTGACACTGTAGCACTTTCGTTTGTATTTGACAATTATTATCCAATCATGACCTAACTAGGCTCAAAAGATTCGTCTCGTAATTTACAATCAAACTGTGTAATTAGTTATTTTTTTATCTCCTCTCCGTGCATGTTGCGAAGTTGTGTTCCTACAAAGACTTGCTGTTGCCAGTCGACTCCCTTTCTCTCCTCTCCTCTCTCAATTTGGTGCCCATCACCTCTTGTCATCTTCCTCCGCATACTTCCAGTCTTGCTGAGGTGGGCACGAAAACCCAACTCGATCTGGGATCCTTTGTCGCTGTTCGGCTGCTTGTATTTAAAAAAAAAAAAAACTGTTGCTGGCTGTTAGCACATTGATTCGTGAGTCGCAGCTGCTCAAGCAGCAGCAGCAGCAGCGGCTGCAAAAACCAGCCATTGAACATGCTGAGTCGCTTTTTGCTCTTCGTGTTAGCAATCGATCCACTGCAAAAACTGATAAACCAGGCTAAAAAATACTTTTCGCTTGTTAGTAAGAGAAAAACACTATGGCCCCG